AGAGAGAGAGAGAGAGAGAGAGAGAGAGAGAGAGAGGAGGCCACTGACGACAAGAAAGACATAAACAGAGTAGAGACAGGCACAGGTACATAAAATCACAGGGCCAAATTAGCTCAAGGAAGATGAAGACTTTCTTAATTATGCTCCAGGTGTTGGTCATTAAGTCTCTCCAGACTAGCTTGATTACGCCGTTACAATTTTGAATAAAGTCGTGACATGTGCCTGGGTCGATTTGTTTACCTACTTTTCCACTGCGAGTTTTAACTGTTTGATTGTTTGTTGATTGTTTCCCTGGACTCTGTCCATAAACCCTAAAAACATAACACTTCGACTGAGTCCTAGGTTGTTTTTGTTTTTTTCAGACACCCTGTATAATATGGCAATCTCAGTTAAAAATAATATATTCGTACTTTAAGTGCTCATAATGGTTGGCTTTTAAGAAGTTGTGTAGGTTCATGTTTTACATGTTTTACAAGATTTTAATTGACATGTTTAAAAACATGAATATTTTCAAAAGTGTTATTTGTTGTTTTTTCTCATATCAACAGTTCGACGTCAATTTGATTGAATTATATTTGAACAAAGATTTGTAGAAATTGATCCAAAGATAATCGAGTTATTGCACACTGTAAATGGGTTCATTTTTTTTATTAGACACCCGGTACTTTACACTTGCTGCCTACCGTGAAACGAAGAAAACTGAAATGGTATGACTATGTACCAGGATCTTGTGGCCTAACCAAGATCATTCTTCAGGCAAAGAAAGAGGTGGACCGACAACATTACGGTCAGGACAGGGAAATCATTTCTCCCAAATTCCGGAGCTGTAAAAAAACTGTGAAAAGCGGAGGCCCCTGACGAAACATTCTGTCATACAGCGCCCCAACGACTCTCGTGGATGATGGGATCAGGGACCAGTGACTTAACCCTATCCGTACGCCCTGGGGTCATTTTGTACCCCCGGGGTTGTATTCTTCACATTTTAGAATACTTCTAAATCTAGTGCGAATCTCTTTGAAACTTTCAGTATTTCTCAAACATCATTTTGACAGACTGCTGTGCAAAGCGTACGGATCGGATTAACGAGTAAATTTCCTCTTTCGAAAGTGGTGGCACAGAGTTCCCCACGTCGTATGGATATGATTGTAAAACACGACGTTAGAATAGGGTTAATTGAATACCTGAGAACAAGACTGTGTCAATTTTTGTTGAACGGAGAAAAAAAGTATAAAAAAAAACAACCCGTGAAATTAAGTCTGTGGATATCTGCTTTGGGATACTCAGCACTTTTCCCCCTTTTCCTTGCAACACCGTCAACGATAGAGTGTCACGTGCATTATTAATAGATGAGTGAAAAGTTTCTCTATTTCTAGGCACCTAATAATAATAATAATAATAATAGATAGCATTTGTATAGCGCATATCCCCGCTCAGCAGCAGGCTCTATGCGCTTTACACTATATTATTACCCCAGCAGACCATAGCACACTCCGAAACATTCTCAGCTTCCCGGGAAGCATACAGTGCAAGCAGCCGATTAAGAGCTCAAACACTAACAAACTGACAAGATATTTCGCTCTCTATAGCCGGGTACCCATTGCCACCTGGGTGAAGTGAGGAAAATTCGTGTAAAGTGCCTTTCCCAAGGACACAACGTCGGGCCCTTGACGGGATTCGAACCCACGACCTTACGGTGGCGAGTCCCAGAGCCTAACCACTAGGCCATCGACGCCACAGAACCTAGGCTTAGAACTCAATTTTTAAAAGCCAGTTTGGACTTAGACACAGTCTTGTTCTCAGGTCTTCAATTATGAGAATAATAGTAGAAACATGTTTTACATATCTTTTTTTTTGGGCAAGTGTTTTACGGCGCTCGCAACTGCATAAGGTCATATGAACGCGCGGGACACATTTTCAGTTGGTAGGAAATTTTGAATTTTGCTGTGGTGGCGGCCGAAACTTACTTATATCGATTTTGGACCTCCAAGGAATCTTTAACGTTCGGAACGTGCACACGAGAACTCCGAGATTTTTCGTACATATCCGAAAAGGCAAGGTGTAGATCAGGAGTATGGCCGAAAGACGGCAGTAAGAAGAAGGAGCCAAGGAGTAGCTGTAGAAAAGCTGCAGAAAGAGTAAGGAGCCCAGAGGAGGCGGCAAAGGATGACTTACTTTGCGGAGGTCATGATAGAGTGGCGACACTTGCAGCGGGGCTTTATGTCTGTGTCCTTGACTAGATGGTACTCAAATGTGCTTCCTCCCGTCTTCTGAATGTGCATGACCACCAGTTTGTCGCTTGCATTGATGTTGAACGGCACAGGAGTGACCTAGAAGGTTGCAGTCAGGTTCACTTCCAAGTTTGAAAAGGGGGGGGGGTAGGGCGGTGGGGGCGGCTAAGAATGAAGACTAACATACACTCACAAACACACACATACTCATACCTCACACATGTGCACCCGCCAACAAACACAAACACACACACACACACACACACACACACACACACACACACACACACACACATACACACACACGCACAAATATATTTAAAACTGGGAATTGACACATATTCACACATATGAATTCACAAATATACACACGTATACACACACACACACACACACACACACACACACACACACACACACACACACATCCGCAAACATTATACACCCCACACGTGTACGCACATGCACACTCACGTATACACAAACACACACACATACACACACACACGCACATACACACACAAATGCGCACTCACACATACGTATAATATATTATTATCATTATTATTATTATCTTTATCATTATTATTATCATTATTATTATCATTATCATTGTGAGTACATAAACATGTCTGAATAATAATATAGGTAATGACAATTTGATAAAATATGCAAAGGAAATTGCACCCCTCGCCCCCTTTTCCACGGCGCTCTTAGTATAGTGTGCGCTTGTGTTTGTAGATGAGTATTTGTACATAATATATTCATTTATATTGTCGCTTTTGAGCACAAAAGGGGTAACCCGAAAAATGCTGTTTTAAGAAATTCGAATGTAAAGTTTTTGCCCCTTGTCCAGTTTCTTTAAAAGACAAGGAGAGTTTCCTCTAAAACCAAACAAACATACACACCAATGAAATCAAACTTCTCCTATAGTTAGGGCAATGCTCACTTTCGATATAAGTCAAGATTTATGGAAACCCCCGAAATCTGGGTTAGCCCGCTTGTCCTTGAAAGCGACCATATGAAGTATAACATAATAATAATAATAATGATAATAATGTAGTAAAAATGACATGTTACGGGTAACCAATGAGAACAACATGTATTAACCCTTACATCCTCGATACAGAACGTTCCCCACAAAAGCTGTTCCGACATAAGTGTTCGTACGTAATAGATTCATTTATATTATTATGAAGTATAACATAATAATAAAAGATGACTCGTTACGGTAACTTAGGAGAACTACTAACCCTTGCATCCTCGTCAGAGAATGTTCCCCATATAAGCTGGTCCGATATGTTCAGCAGACTTGGAGGTACCGGCATACCTTGAGCAACTTCACTGGCACCCAACACAGGTCTGGTGGTAGTTATGTCCACACCTTCGTGCTTCGGAAAACCAGTCGTTTCAGCGATAAATGCCTCTGTAGTTTTTAATATCGTCCTAGAAGGAGAGAGCTGACTTTCTGTACCTGAGTTAGCCTCTAGTAGGCCGTATTCATAAAATTCTGTGGTCAGCGTTACAGGCGTTCTGTCTAGTGGAGCTATTCTGAGCTTGTTGTGAATAGCTTGGTTTGTGTTGCCGTTATCAAACCAGAACCGCACTGACGTTACCAAGGCTGATACAACCGCGACTGCGTAGAGATATTTCAGCAATTTTGGCATTTCGGTGACTAAAATGAATAGATAAGTAAATAAATAAAATTTAAAACAAACAGAAAAAGAATGAAGCAGACGTTAAACGTGACAGTTCATAGTGTGGTATCCTCTCTGATAGAAAACTTACTCTACTGATAATGAATTAGGCACGAAAGTTCATCCATTGTCACCATCTCAGTCTTCCGGAATATCGTGAAGAATGAGACCATTTTCGGCTCTTAAATCAGTAGTTTCCTGACTTATGTGTCTTCCCAGTTGTTTGAAATCAGAGGAACATTAAATCACAAATTGATCTGGTGAGTTTCATGAACTCTTGTGGAATTTCTGCATAATTGTCGAGTTGCTGTACTCTTCCAGGGATGTTTCTTCCCAATGCAGTGCCTGTGGCGAGTGAAAAGAAATTAATCTGTGTTCAAACTAGATTTATTACGAATAAATGTAAAATGGAGAGGAATTTCAAATTAGTCAAAGCTTTCTATTCGAGGCTGCATCAAATAATTTTGTCTTTGAGTGTTTCTGGGGACTGGGGGTGAGGGTGGGGTGAGTATTATTTAAAATGAAAATAAGCATATATATTAAATATGCACACATTATATATGTGTCTGCGTAGAAATGTATAATATAATCATTATCAATTCATCTTAATTGAAAAGGCAGAGTAGGTAGGGAGAATCTTGATTAATTTTCAGTCAGTCAGTTTCAATACAAATTTCCCTTCAAATTGTGGTTAATATTAATGCATCTAGATCTTTTATGATAACATAAACAGTGGAAGAGGATCTAGAACTTTACAAAATAAATAAATAAATAAATAAATAAATAAATAAATAAATAAATAAATAAATAAATAAATAAATAAATAAATAAATAAATAAATAAATAAAAACAACAACAGCATTTCATGACAATGTATAAGAAATCCATGCTATAAAAATCCGAAAAACATCAAAATTTAATGAAAGAAGTAGAACGTGACATTTTATCTTTACCTAAATTTCCATTAAATCTTTGAAGTCAAAATTGGTGTCTTGTTGCTTTTAATATAATTTTCATCAACAGGGAGAGATAAAATAAACCACCTCAGAATAAGGTTAAAACTCCCTGACTAAATCAATACAATCATACTTGATCGTTGGCACGATTGTCGAAAAAAAAGTCACGCTTAGTATTTACCATCCCAGACTCAGTCATAAAAATAAATCTGTTTCATGTTTCAAATATGAAAAAACGTAGAGCAAGATGGTATATTTGTTTTCTGCATGGTTGCTTTGAGTGTGCCTGCCAGCTTTTATTGCTTGCCCTGAAAAGAGGAACAACTGTTCAATTCAATAACTGATGATAAAACTTTCGGTGAGCTGAATGAACGGACTTAATCTTCGCTGTCACGAGCCCGCAGTGCTATTTTGTTCTAACTCCGTTTTTTCGGTTTTATTGTAAATCATTTTGTAAATACTGAATTGAATTCTAGAAGTAGAAAAACTCAAAAACCAAGGGCAGTTAGTACAAAATGGAACTGAACTTCTGCGGAACACGCGTGTTTAGGCGTAATAATTTTGAACTCAAAGGGAAGAATTTTCAAAAGCCCTGACAGCTGTGGCAAACACTCCCAACTTTGGAAACTGGAGTAACTGCAACTGTAAGACAAAACTCAACTCTATCTGTCAACTACTCTGTAGAGTGTTGTAGAACGACGAATCATGTCTAGCCCGATACACACAGAATACTGCATGTATCACTGTATATTTTCAGCGTTGTAAAATAATAAATGTACCTATATGCTTTATTATACTTTTTTTTACACCATGATATAACATTAGACATTACATTATCCCACTGGGACAATAAAGTATCAGCTTTTTATCTTATCTTATCTTGTCTTAAACATGGGCAGACAAGTCGCAGAACAAATTAATGAGTTTATGGCTAAAGAAAAAGAACGTCAGAAAAAAATCTATACAACTTTAGTATTACAATTTTAAAAAATAGCCGCTATCTCATCCCGGTAGCCTCGTTATAAATAATTATTATCTACGGCCTGTTTTTTATATCTAGGATCCTTTCCAGAAAAGAACACTTTCAAACAAAATTAATGCTCTGAACAGAGAGATTCTCGACGTATTATTGTCTTTAGGTTCCGCCTTCTTGTATCTATTTCAAAATGGTCACGTTCACAATCAGCGTTCTTTAGCATAATTAGGTGACAATGCAAGCCACGTATTTGCAGATGGCAGTACCAACATTATGGAGGTACCCACGTTATCTACGTACATTATCTAAAAAGGTAAATGTAAACAGAATATTATGGTAAGGCTCTTTGTCTTGCACCCTAAAGACACGAGTTCCATTCCGTCTCAATAATGATTTATGATGAAATTCATTTTTATAGTGGACTTATCCTGAGCAGATCAGGCTGGCCTTGACAAACAGAGTACCAGCCTCCTGCTTCTTGAAAGACCCAATTTACATTGGAAGGGATATGACACACTTACACTTACGACACCAAAAGCAAGAAACAGTTTTGATTTACGGCTAAATGAGGTATTAACACGCTGATTTAAACTGTACAATTAAAACAGCCACTTACGAAGAAACTTTACATCTTTCTCTCACAGTAAGGCAAAGGTTCGGGCCTACTTGCCCACATCGGTAACTATTTACTCAAGTGTATAAATTCCCACTGAGGATTACTTACGCTGTAATGTTTACGAGCGTTCTACGGCGAAGTGCGCGCCCCTCTGTGCTCGTGAGCGTGCACGACACTGAATTCCTGGCCTGGGTCCTGCTTTATACTTAATGCCACAAAACTCCTCATCACTGCTCGAAATTCACTCAAAGTATAGTCTTACAAGCACTGTAAATCACCCTAAGACACAAGCAATATAACACGAACTGTTAAAGAACATTTACCAATTTCATTTGCCGTCCATGGAACAGCTGCAAACTGCTCTAAAAATTAAAAAAATTTTAAAAGTAAAAAAATAAAAAGACAATTGGGATCTCTGCCTCTCCAAAACAGCTGTTACTCTCCTTGAGCGCACTGAGCCGATATCTCTTAGCTTTCTTGCTTCGTGAGGAGGAAAATAATATTTGCCAAATAGACGATAGTCAGATCCAATACGGTTGATTCGTGGTGGTATGTAGTTTTGAGCTGCTTTAGATTGAAATTTCGTTACACAATCGTCGCTCTTTGATGCTATTCATGCAAGGCCTTGAATAATAATATTTTAAAAAAGAAACTTATTACGACCCCTGCTCCCTTAATCTGAAGCAGACAATGGCGATCATACTCCGCCATTCATTTTTCTGGTCGAATGCTTAAAAATGTAAATATATTTTTAACAAACTATAATATATAACTCTGGTATTTCCCAGTCACCCCTCTGTTCCGACTTTTTTTTCAAGTTGCTCTGCACGGCGCCTGTGGTGCAGTGGTTTGGCACTACGCTGTCGTACACAGGAGACTGGAGTTCAATTCTAGAGGAAGGGGGAGGGGGAGAGAAAATCTCTGTCGAGTATCTCGGTCTTTCTGTTGAGGTGTTATCCCTCTCAGCCCAGGTTTGCTCTGGCAGGCCGAGTCAGAAGCCCGCCTCTCTAATTTTAATTATGTAAATTGTGCCGAAGGTGGGGTAAAAATATCTACATTAATTAAAAAACAACAACAACATAGTTACTCAGGGTCCTATGGCCTCAATTATTCCAACGAGTGCAAGCTGTTCAAGGCCTTTATGTCGATTCAAGTGTCCAAGAAATTGCACCTGGCTCTTCCTAATTGTTCTAATTAACCAGCGGCCCACATTGGCTTCTTTTAACACTATTTCGTTTGATTCCATTTCCCTCCGAGGAATTCTCAAAAGAGCCAAAAGAAACCACATTTCTCTTGCTTTATGTTATTTCCGCTGTCTGGGATAATTCTCTTGAGCCACTGCCATGAATGATTGACCAAATGTAGCCTTTTATTAATCATAATTCGGTTTTCATTAAGTTTTTTTAAAGAATAGTTTTCAGGATTGGACTAGCTTAAGCTTCAAGTGTAATCGTATAAATATTTAAATGATTGAACTTGTAGATCTTTCGTGCTTTGTTTATGAGACTGCAAATTAAATATTATTAAGATTTTCTCATTTTTTGACATTAAATGTCCTGTAGTAATCTACATCTGAAACAAAAGAAGGTAAGAGCATATATCTACATTAAGATGAGGTTCATACACCATAAAATTATTGTTCTTGTATATTTGTTTCATAGCTTCCTTTTCTACACGGGTAGGTTTTGATTGACGAGAGGTTAGCTGGTATAGTATGGTATGATTTAATAAATGTTTAAAACTCCTTTCAATATTGTAGGGTTATTTAATTAAAAGACTGAACCACCTATAGGACAAAGCCAAAATGTGAAGAAAGCCATGTATACTCCTCTTCATAATAAATAACCCATGCAAAAGAACGTTTCGTTTGAGGATTTGAACAAATTTAACCCCCATGTTGGTCTAACATGATACCAACTAAGGTCGGACGGTACACTTCGCAATATTTTTAATCCCCTCGATTCAAGGTTTAGAAAAAAAGAAGAAGAAGAAAAAAAAACCCCACACAGCCGCGACATAACCTCAAGTGGTGTAGTTAGTCACTTTTGACCTTGGTATCGCACTTTGTTTATCGGGTGCTATTTGAATACAAATTAGCCTCCGTTCTGCTCCACTGAGCAAACAATATAATTATCCGTCAGCTTTGTAAGCTGCAAACCTGCACATCATAGTGCGTTAAAAAATTCGTGGCCCACCTTGTCCTCAAATATCTCTAAAACGGGTGAATCACCGCCCCTCATACTTTCTGTATCAATTTGTCTTAACGTTATCATATTTTCCCCACCACAATTGAGGTCAGATTAAAAAAATTTCATAAAATGTACATAAAATACTAGACATCTCCGTCACGCAGAAAATGGGATTGTTCACACCATTTCCGCTTCCTGCACACATTTTGTATGCGGCCTACGCCACAGCTCACCAATGACACTTTTTAGTGGCAAAACTTGTTATAAGACATTAATCTTAGAGTGACCACATCTTTTGCACTAAAGTTTCTCTACTAAACATGCCTTCAATAAGCTTAAAGTCACGATTAGAAAGCAATGACGGACTTGATTTTAAAAGCGATATTGCCCGAGCTGTAAACTTTTTAAAAGCTGTAGAAATCATCGACTTGGATTTTGTATTTGTTTTTATTAAGGACATTTTAAAAATACAATGTACATGTGTTTTATAAAATATTCATCAGTTAACATAAATTAATGTAAGTCACTGCACACGTTTTGGAATCTATGTCCAAAAGTTAAGGGAGATAGACCTACTTGACAATAAGTTACGCCACAAATTTTTGACCACACTATAGTTCATAATTCAGCTGCGATGAAAAAAACAATAAAATGTTTATGAAGTGCCTGGGGGTCTTTTGCAATATATTAAAATCACTGCTATTGAAATATGTGTTTTAAAGCTCCATAACGAAGGTGTGTAACCTGGCTGAGTCAGTGGTGTTGCTTTTGAGATTGTTTTTCGAAAATTTCTACAATAGGCCTCAAATTTTAAGCATTTCGAACAAGGCTACTCTCATAGAATTCAATAAGGTCTATGTTGGGCCCTTGTCCCGAAGTATCGTAGTCTTAAAAAGCACTTCATTTTGACCCTCGGGATGTCGTGTGAACTGTTAAAACTAAACCTAAAGAAAATAGTAAGGAAAATATCTGTAGTAACGTGGAGGCTTTCATGGATGGTCGTGCTAACGGTTGAAATCTAGCTGTAAATACGGAAGTGAAGCCACAAACTGGGCAATATTCAGCTCTCTCTGGCAGTGAAAGAAAAAACTGTTTACAGGTAATCGATACTACGTTAGATCGAGTACAGACAAATGGGTTAGTTAAGTAGCCCCAAAAGAAGCGATAAATTCCCCTCAAATCTGGATTGAAATGTCTACATTTTCCGAACTCGAAACTACGTTAACTGTGCGCCCTTTACACGGTTTGATTGCACTAAAGATGAACCAAAACAATATTATACTTCAGCCCCACCTGGTTATCCTCACCCAAAAAAAATCATGTGTACTTTTCTGACTTAAATTAAGACAAAGCAGTTCTCAAAAAAGTTTACTTTTACTTTCACTTCTGTCTGCCGCTTATACCCTTTAGGGAGTCGCGGGAGGAAAGAGACGCCTCTCTGTCGCTAGCCGGGGAGCTTGAGTCTGGGGGATGCCGTGAGTGGTTAGTGTTTCCCTGATTCCATCTATCCAGGTCTTTCTCGGTCGCCCTCTAGCCCCGTCTTTTTCAGTCCGTTTCTTTCTTCCTTAAGTTATTTTTTAGCAATAAATTATCCGCTTCCAACTTGCTAGGCCTGTCACAGTTTCACCAGAGCCCCGTTAGCCTGCAACTTTTCGGGGTGACCCGGGTTCTCCTTCACGGCTATCGTGACGCCTCAGTGGCATAAAGCCACACCGTACTTCGTTGAACCCAGCAATCCCCTACTTTGTCCAATTTCCACCCCCCGGGACGTGGACCTGGGGTTGGTCTTTGGAAGGCATAAAAATGTTTAAAGGGTCAAAACGTAACACTGTATTCCGATAAAAAGCGAAACTCCACGAACACCCAGACGAAACTTCTGGGGCGTAATAAGTATTTGATTGGTCTGGGTGTCTACTACTGTTTGCTACAACTGTAGCTCCGTCCAATCAGGCGCTCCTTCATTCATCGTGAGGTAAAAAACAATAATGTGATGGTTGGTACAACCTCTCATGCATAAAGACTAATAGGTTTACAACCAATACTGAGAGTGTAACGACCGACCAAAAAAGTTGCTGAAAAGAGTAGGAGGACAAAGAAATAAAGATGCTTCCAGCTTTTCAGAATAAATGTGGTTTAATAGAGTTTACCCGGGCAAAGAAGCCTATACATGTAACATGCTAGGACATGATATGATAAAGCACAACAATGTGTTGGTTGTTACAACTAGGCATGGTTTTGGATTTGACGTCTGCCGAGGTCGGTTGACTTTTCACGGCTCTGCTTTTCGCTGAGTTTTGGACGAGTTTGTGTGGGATTGTGCTTTCTGTAACTCTTCTTTTGGAATCATCAGGTTTGTGTTTAATGTTCTGTAACTCGTACAGGTAAGTCTGCTTTTTTATTTGCCAATTTTGTTTATATTTTTGCCTTTCTTCACTGTGGAGCTCCAGCTCCTCTTTCGCCCTCTTTTCAGCATGGCGGGCATGTTCGATTGAAATGGTCCGCCACTCTTCTTCATCTTGAGCAGGGACGTACGTTCCTTGGACAAGGACCCGATTAGAGGTATAGAAGTCTGCCGAGCGATGGAGGTGTGTGGTGAGGAGTTAGTAATTAGGGCACAGGCGTTGTATATAGCATAAAGGCTCTACACCAAAACCAGGGCTGCGATGAATGCCATTTTTTTTGTATGGGCTTTCAAAACGCGGGGCAAATGTCATGGCCCATGAGAGGTTCCCTCTCGGATATGGACTAGAGTCTGTAAAGATCACGCTCGGCATTGTACCGCTCCCAGTACCGAATACTGAAATCCTCACAGCATACACTTGGAATCAACCCTTTAGATGAATAAGGTAGACAGACGTCACATATGAAATTGGTCGACGTTTTGTGCAAATCGCCCCCCCCCCCCTTTCCAACATCTCCCCTGCCGTTCACGTAACGAGTGGGTAGTATTTTTAATGCTTTCGTATATTACTTCACCGACATGAAACAACATGGACACCATGGGCCAATTGAAGTCGTGGAGAGTAACGACACTGTTCGTGAGGGGGACGGAGAGGGGGGCGCGGAGGTGGACAACGCTTTATCTTCCAACAATGTCCCCGAGCCTCGAACCTGATCACCATCTGTCGCAAAATCGAG